TATCCAGGAGGCTGGGCTCTATGAGGAGAAATGTGGGGTCAAGATTGGTGGACGATTTATCAACAATCTCTGTTATGCAGATGAAACAACCCTGTTTGCTGAAACTGAAGAGGACCTGAAGCGCCTGCTGCAGAGGGTCAAGGATTGCAGCCTACAATATGGATTGAGGCTCAATGTCAAGAAGACAAAGATTCTCACCACTGGACCAATTGGCAACATCAGGATGGATGGTGAAGAGATTGAGGTTGTACACAGCTTTAGTTTGCTTGGCTCCACGGTCAACACTCTTGGCACCAGCAGCCAGGAAATTAAAAGGCACATTGCCATGGGAAAGTCTGCTGTTAGGGACCTCTCCAAAGTACTGAAGAGCAATGGTGTCTCTCTGGAGACTAAGGTGTGTCTGATACAGGCCATGGTCTTCGCAATCACTTGTTATGCATCAAAGAGTTGGACAATGACCAAGGAGGATAGAAGGAGAATTGATGCCTTTGAGCTGTGGTGCTGGAGAAGAGTATTGAGAATACCATGGACTGCTAGGAAAACAAGTAGATTTGTCCTGGAGAGAGGGTTAAACCAGGTGGCTCCTTGGAGGCAAGGATTCTGAGGGTCCGTCTAACATACTTTGGACATGTTGTGAGGAGAGACAAGTCCTTGGAGAAGGACATCATGCTTGGGAGGGTGGAGGGACAGCGCAGGAGAGGAAGGCCCTCTATGAGGTGGATTGATTCATAGGCTGGGATAATTGGGATGGGAGTGTCAGAGACAGTGCGATTGACACAGGACAGAGCCGAGTTTAGGGCTGTTGTACATAGGGTCGCTATGAGTCGCAAGCGACTCGATGGCACATAACAACAACAACAACAATTTTGTGTAATTTATTTTTAGTTGGAGACTTTTGTATTATTACTGGGCTTGATAGTAATGAAATTTAGATTTGGGGATGAGATATTGAAATACGTCAGGCAAACCACTTGTTAAAAAAGAAACATGAAAAAATAAATTTACTCTTATGTTTAGATGTATCTTATTCCACAATCACTTCTGAATCCAGCTACAATTTCTGTCAGTGTACTTTTCTAGCTGTTTTTTAATAATCTTCAGCGATATTTTACTTTCATGTTATACTAATGTTATTGTTCAATAATTTTCACACTTTTTTGGATCACTTTTTTTGGTGCTGAGGACACAGATATGACTGTCTCCTCAGTTGGTAAGGTAGTTATCTTCCAAATTTTTGTCATAGGCTAATGAGAATGTCGAAGGCTGCATCTGTTTGTAGAAATACCTCAGTTGATTTCCAGTCAATTCCTTCTTTTTTTACCAATGCCTTAGTGCGGCGTCAGCTTCATTACCATTAGTTCTTGATCCTTACTGCTTCCTTAAATAGGTCAGTGTCTCTTGTTGTTGTTGTTGTATTGGTTGATTGAAAAAGAAAGACACTGGTAAACCCCAGTGTACCCATAGTCATCCTGATCCTCAATTCAAATTGAACTTTCCTCAACAAATTATAATTATGGACAGGAGCATTTGATATGTGTATAACAGTGAGTAAAAATTTCAAATGACTCAATAGCTTTCTAACTTACCAAGGTACTGTTTTAAGGTGTGTTGTAGAAAGTGTCTACCTGTAAATGCTTTGGCATGATCATAATTAGGTAGTCATTAGAAGGGTCTGCTTTCCAATACCAGACCTGCCATCTGGACAAGTTAGTTTCATTCTCTGAGACTCAGTTTTACTTATCTACAAACTTGGAGGGAAGAATAAATAACTTTGAAAGTCACTGAGATCAAATGAGATACCACTTATAAAGTAGTGGCATGCAGTAGTTGGGTACTACGTGTTAATTCCTTCTCCTTGACATTCCACTAAAATGCCATCCCTTAGAACACGTAACAGAAGGCAGCATGCCCACACACATGCTCAGTATGAGCCACATAATGTTTTATTTTTAAATTTGAATTGTTTGACACACAAATATTAAAACTATTTGAGACACTATGATTTATTGGTTTTTCCATGACCTTGCAAAGTCTGGGAACTCTGTGGTGCAGGAGGCAACCTGGAATCAGGTCACTGTTTCTCACTTTGATTTCTCCAGTCCCCTCCACTCCTGTTGTCCTAAACCTGCTCCACTTCCTCCAGTGCCCTCCACTCTTGTTGTTTTACGCCTGTTCCACTCAGTTAAGTGGCCTGGCTGGCCCTGATGAGACATGTGTTTCTTGTATATGAAGACAGTGAAATGCAGTTAAGAAGGAGCCTTCTTAGAACTCTAAGCTGGATTTGAAGGAGGTTCGTGAATTGAAAGCTATGGTGAAGTGAGTGGCCTCTGGATGATCAGATCAGATTCAAATAAACGGATCTTCTGTACTCGCAGAAGATCAGCAGTAACATGTTTAGCTTAACAACAGTGACACCAGTTCACCAAGGTAGAACAATTAAAAGAACTTTTCCAGCACAAATTTGGCCTTTATTGTGCCCACACCACCTGCACATGCCCTCCACCAGACAGAACACCCACCACTTGTCATTTCCAAACCTCTGGACTTGCAGGAATATAAGCAAGGAAGAACAGAGGAGTTGAGTCAAGTTTGATTGTTGTCAGTTAACTTTGCATTGGTTCCACCTCACAGCAAGTCTTGGTAAAGCAGAGCTAAACTCTCCCCGCTCCTGTGATGGCTTCTTTTCCATTGAATTGTGCTGATCCATCTCTCTAGGTGAAGGTCATCGTCTTCACTGGCCCTCTACTTTTCTAAGCTTAACATCCTTTTCCAAGAACTGGCCCCTCCTAACTCCAACCAGTGAATGAAAGAGAGCGGATCTCCAGACCTGGCTCTGTGGACGCCCTGGCTGCACTTCCGTACAGATTTGTCTTGTTTTTGACAACTATACTGAATATGAGTAGGACTCTATAAATAGCACAAGCGTAAATACTGAGACAGTTGTCTGCATACATCAGTCCAAAGTATATAAAAGAAATAGAAACAAAAAAGTGAGCGTTTGGCTTAAACTATGGAATGAAGTTTCTTAACCTTCCACTCTTATTCCTTGAGAGACCTAATATAAAACAGAACAGGAAAATCTGAAGTAGAGAGAAAACCGCCTGGTGTGGCTTTCTGCCTATAACACCTATTAAGAACATGCAGACCAAAATCTGACTCTCAAACCAGTATGGCTGGCTAGGAAAAGAGGCCATAGGGGACGGGGGAAATAAATGTTTCTTCACACTGGCGAGAAGAGAATGCTTGTGCCCCGTGAGGCCCTTTTCAACGTCTGTGACTTCAAACTTAACACAAAATGTGTATTTATGCAAAAAGTTTCATCAATACAAAGGCCAACTTATTAATGAAGCCTCTCTGTCTTCAAAGTATAAAATTAAAAGACTACTATAACTACAGGCAAGCAAGCATTTGGATTATGTTGCATTTGAAAATGATAATGAAGATTGTCCATATGGTCTAGTGCACTGTAAACCCCTTACACTGCATTAGCAAACACCTAATATGGTTGGGAGTTTGATTATTTGGCTCATTTGAAATTCTGCTGTGTCCTGGGTCAGTTTGACCCAAGATGATTTACTAGGATTAGCTGTCATTTTCTTTTTAAAATGCCGCTTGTTACTTAGGGAGAAATACAAATTTTAGACTGATATGTTTGCTACTATAGTACCTTATTGTTGTGTTGTTATGTACCATCCAGTTGGAACCAGCCCATGGCTGACCCTCCAGAGGGATTTCAGAGAGACAGTTAATTGCACAGGAGGACATTGCCATCCTTCTCCCATGGGATGATACCTTAGTCTTGTTAAATATTCTCACTTTATACCTCTTCTTTAAGCATCTTTTAACTATATTCTCATCTATCTTGGGTCCATAATACAGTCTTTACCAACTTGGTGGTAAGATCTGTTGAGGAGCCTATTCAAAGGCATGTGGTTTGAATCCATTAACTGCTCCATGGGAGACAGATAGGAACTCTTCTCCCATGTGATCCACAGTCTCTGAAAACTTACTGGAGGGCTGACAATGAGTCCGTTCTGACTCAGTGGTACATGACAGTGGACTTCCTTGGTTTTTTGTTTTGTTTTGTTTTGTGGAGGTTTTTTTTTACTTGTGTAAGATATATGTAACTTTAGATTGCATAGTTAACGCTTCAGTGTTCTGGGAGCAGGAAACAGAGGTCAGAATTAAACTCTCCCCAGAAGAACTAGAAATGTTTGTGCTCTCTTGGCTTGTTACATGCTACTACACCAAGGGAGGAAACGAGTGGTGAGGACCTCCCGAGAGACCTGGAGTATGAGTTCTCCTTTTTCATATGGGATGACAGTCTCTGATGGGGAGCTAAGCTGTGCTCCTCTGGGATATGGTCCTATGTCATCCCTCCAGCCTCCCGTTCTTCTGAAAACTGATCCCTTTTTCTGTCCTGGGCTTTGCTTTACACACATCCTTCACAGAGTCTGCAAACCCAGTCCCATTTTGCTCTTTTTGTTTCCAAAGTGTGCCTTTTATATTTCACCCTCAGATGGATTGAGTTTTGTTTTGTAAATATATCCTAGAGAGGTCTTCTCTTTGAACCTGAATGTGACAGTGTCACTAATAACTTTTTTTCTTTAAGTTGCTAAGAACATTAGGAGCATGTTAGTAACTAAATACAGTAGTAGTGCACTAGGCTCATTGGCCATTTTATTTCTCTTTGAGGTAAGAAACGTGAACTCATGCTTGACACTGTCAATTCCTGCTGTCACTGGGGTTGTCTTGAAGATGGGCAGCACGTCCTTGTCCCCCTCTGTGTGTCCCAGGACTGCAGGATGGCCGGCCTGTAAAAAACACTGTATGCTAATATGTGAATGAAAATGGTCATTTTATTGACAGTTAAACCTGAGCACACATTAGACCTGTGCCCAGACTCCCACGTCCATCATCTCTGTGTGTGTCTGTGTGTGTCTCTGTGTGTGTCTGTGTCTGTGTGTGTGTGTCTACCTAACAGATCATTTTGTTCTAAGGAAACTCGCCAAGAAGCGGAAGGAGACAATGAGCAGCACTCGGCAGGAGATGACTGTGATGGTGAACTCGATGGACAAGAGCTATGCTGAGCAGGGCACTAACTGTGACGAGGCTTTTTCCTTCATGGACACCCACCACCTGAACGGCAGGTGTAAGTGCTGGCCCTTCGCGCCTCTGTTGCTTTCTCTCATTTCCCAGGATTCCAAGTACAAAGAGAGAGGGAATTTTAAAAAGGGAAACCTTCCTGAAAAAAAAAATTCACAAAATGGATTTCTCCAGTCACTTATCCTGAAAATCTTCTATATCCTGGAGGTTGCTTAGCAGAGGTAGTATTACAAAAGCAACAGAACCGAGAGGCAGAGCACAGGAGAAGGCACCTGCTCGTCATCACCCTGGGATTGTTCGAATCCCATTTGTAAGCCAGCCAGGTGTTAGGCATACACAAGGGAGATCTGGTAGAAAACAATTCACTAAATAGTAGCAACATGTTCATTGTTTGTTTATTTACCTGACAGGTTCTGCCTTAATTACAGGGCTACTGGTGGCAATTAATAATTTAAGCTGCATTTCAACTTCACAAGTCTTGCATTTCACTCCAGGTGGATAAATCTTATTCAGCTAATACTGCCACCTGTAATCCAGGTATAAGGCATTATTTTAGGAAACCAACAATTAGATGGAGGTACAAAACAAACAATCATTTCATTCCTAGTCATCTTCGGAGAAACCAGAAGAAGTTAGTTTCCTGTGCACATGACTAGCTAGCTGGTTCATAGTCCTGGTGAGTTCAAGGTCAGGAGTTTCTTTGCCCTCATGCAGTTCATGCCCACCTACTACCCCTAACTCTGACGACATAATTATGATGCTGTTTCAATGAGGTGAAATCCAATGCAGTTGTCATAGATACTGAAAAGCAAAACCAAGTTACTTACCTGCAAGTTACTTACCCTCAGAACCGCAGGAAACAGCATCACTTCTGGGTGCTACAGACACATGATGTTTTCTGTATCTATTTGTGGTATGTGGGGTCCTTGTCATCCACTGGTCCCTGTGGTAGCCTGCCTCCGGAGCTGGGGACCTCAGTCATCACTTCTCTCCAGGATACAGGTGCTAGCCAGGCCGCAGTGCTTTGCTTACATTCAGCAAGTCTTTGTAGTGCTTGATATAACTGTTTCTGGTTGTGCTGGCCCCTTCTCTGTCTACTCGGAGGCATTCTTTGGGAATATTCTACATGCACACAGACTGTAGAGCTAAAACACAGGGTGCCTTGGTGAAGACAGAAGGTCAGCACCGCTCTTGCATCACTTTGCTGGTCTTTGTCTTGGGCCTTCCACATCACTCAAAATGTAAAGTAAAGAAGCTCACAGTGCTTCATCATATCTCAACATGCCTTCAGTTGTTAAAAAAATCATTCACTCTGCTTTTGTATAAAGACACTGTATTTTGCATTTTAAAAATATGCATGCATTGACTGAGATAAAATGATTGCTGGGACACATGTTGAGGAGTAGACTGAGAGTGTGCTGTCCACCAGGTCTCAGGTTTGAATCCATGTGACACTGGCTGAATTGCATGAATATTTTTATGAAAAAGGACTACTCACATAAATTTATTTTTACTTTTCAAAATAATCCATTAATTCTTCCAGTATTCTATTTGATGGTGAAATTTTTAGTGAATAAATTTACTTAGAACAACCCACCCAGGGAACAGAAATCAACATTAGCAGTTGATTCAGACAGGGCTTTTGAAGTTTGCACAGCAGGGGATATTTGCCTCTGGACAGGAGGTTTAATTTGGCAGATACTTTTTTAAAAAGTGACTGTATCTCTGAATCCAGAAATAATCACAAAAAGCAGGCTGCATCAGAAGCTGGGCATGAGCGCCTGTGGCTGACCTGCCTCTCTCTACACAGCCCTTTGTGCCTCCCATCAAGAAAGCAGGAGGAGAAACCCACCAGCAGGCTTTCCATTTTACTTTCCTTCTTTGGGTGATGAAGAGGTCTCATCACATCTACTCTACTGGGAGGAGCTCTAATGGAAAACTTTATCTTCATTCTCTCCCAGTGCCTTTAAAGGCAGAGGGAGAAGTAACTGAAGAAGGAAAATTATAGGTTGAAGTGTTCACTGGGCCCCCAGGCCTCAGCCCCATTACAAGTGTAGATAAAGATAATTTAGGCTTTGGACAAAAAGTGCTGGAGATTTGAAGATAAGTATATGTCAGAAAAGAGACAGCAAGAAATATGAAATAGGAGAGTTTGGAAAGATTTATGTGTCCCATTCATGACAGAAAGTGCAGCCAGAGTGCTCCTTTGAGGCAAGAACAGTGAAACTTCATCTCACATACTTTGAGCATGTTGGTAAGAGGCATTAAAAAAAAAGACATCGTTCTGGGAAAGGTGGGGAGTCAGCGAAAGAGAAAAAGACCCCAACAAGATATGTTGACACAGTGACTGCAGTAGTGGGCTCAAATATGCCAGCGGTGATAAGGACGGCATAAGATAGGACAGGTTTCAGATCTACTGTTCATAGGGTCACTATGAGTCATACTCAACTTGGGGACACCTGAATAGGCATCTATCATGGACCTGAAATCATCTGTCCACCAAGGCAAGCATGAGTTGAAGAATCCACTTTACTATGTTATAAATAGAGAGAAAATGGGGATGTATGGTAGGAACTAGTTTGGGTTTTATATTAAAAAATAAAATAATTTTAAAATCTTTGCTTAAAAGAGCAATGAAAGAAAAAGTTTTCCAATCTCTGCTTTGCCAGCAGCATAGAAATGTCTGCAGTCACAGTGCAGTGTCACTCTCATGGCCCTGGTGTGTTTGTCAGCTGCCACGCTTGAGGTTTTGATTCATTGGTCACCCTGAATTTCCTGGCAGCTTATTGTCAGTGTCCATGATGAATGTGATTCTTCTCTATTTCAGCAGAGATCTTGAGCTTTGCACTATCATTTACTAATTCTGTGACCCTTAGGGAGCTCTAGTGGCCTAGTTATAAGAATTTGTGCTGCCAACACAAAGGCACGCAGTTCTAGTCCACCAGCTGCCCTTTGACAGGAAGATGGGCAGTCTCCTTCCATGTTATTTACAGCCTCAGAAAACCCACTGGAGGGTCTGCTATGAATGGATTCAGATTCAAAGACATGTAAGAACAACATGGTTAATTATGTGTTGAATAGCTACAAAATGATCACCACAAACTGAGCATGTCAAATAAGTTATTTAAAATAAATACACATGTAGAGACACTATTCTAAACCAGCTATTGCAGGAAAGCTTAAACATGTTATCTTGTCATCAACAACATGACACATATGGAGGTGGCAAGATTGATATGAACATTTAGATCCAAATAGTACTTCCTGTGGAGAGCAGCTTTCTGGCAAGTTGACTGGAAAAAAAAATATATATATATATATATATATATTCCTATTTTAAAAAACTGTGATCTGACAGAGTGTGGAAATTATCAAACAATAACATTAATATCACATGTAAGAAAAATCTTGCTGAAGAGTATCAAAAAACAACTGGAACAAGTATATCAGCAGGAAGCTACCAGAAGTACAGGCTGGGTTTAGAAGAGGCCATAGCACTAGAATATCATTGCCAATGTCAGGTGGATCCTGGCTGAAAGCAGGGAGTACCAGAAAAATACCTATGTTTCATTGACTATGCAAAGGCATTTGACTATGTGAATCACAATAAATTTTGGCTAACATTGAGAAGAATGGGAATCCCAGAACACCTGATTGTGCTTATGTGAAACCTATACTTGGACCAGGAGGCAGTCATCAGAGCAAAGCAAGAAAACACTGGTTCAAAATCAGAAAAGAGTTGCATCAGGGATACATCCCATCTTTATAACTCTTTAATTTATATACAGAACAGATCATTTGGGAGACTGATCCTTATGAAAAAGAATGTGGCAATGGAATTGGAGGAAAACTCATCAACAATATGTTATGTAGATGATATTTCTTGCTTGCTAAAACTGAGGAGGACCTGTAGCATCCTGACCTCTCTTTCTGAAGCCAGAAGCCCCTCCAGCTGTCGCTGAGACTCCCAAGACTCATGTCCTTATACTGTAGGCATGGCCTGATATTTCTGTATTTTACCATTCCGGCAATTTTTCATTGTTTTTGTTCAAACATTCTTCTAGGTGTTGTAGCCCTGGTGTGTCCACTTGCTGTACAGAGGTAGCTTGTGGTTTCTGTGAAGCTGAGCACTGTGACACTGATGTGTCAAATGCGATTATGATTATCCACAGAGGACAGTGTTTGGTGGTGCCCCCCACTTAAAACAAGCTTGGAAGCAGGAGTGGCATCCACTTTCATTAATAGCTTGCCTCCCAAAACCCTATGAACCTGGAGAAAGGATGAAAGTCACACAAGTGTTGAGGACTTTCATTCATAGGGTCACTATAAGTCACCTATGACATGACGGAATTTAACAACATTTTTAAAAATTACATAATGTAAATAGCATTATAATGTTAATTACTGTTATTAAATGAAATGTATGTGTGACTAAATGAAAACCAATTTTTGTAAAAGGGAAAAATGAAATTAGGAAGTATGTGTTATTAGGATTGTATTTTCAGTGAACCTATTCAATTTGTGTACTAAGCAAATAATTGTATAAACAAGACTATATGAGTAAGAAGAAGAAAGGTGTTTGACTGGGTGAATCATAACAAACTGTGGCTGACTCTGAGATGAATGGGAATCCCAGAACACTTGATTGTGCTAATGTGAAACCTATACTTGGACCAAGAGGCAGTCGTCAGAACAGAGCAAGGAAACACTACATGGTTCAAAATTGGGAAAGGTGTACTCCAGGGAGGTGTTCTATCTCCATACCTTTTCAACCTGTATGCAGAGCAGATTAATGGGGAGGCAGGGCTCTGTGAGGAGAAATATGGCATCAAGATTGGTGGAAGATCTACCAACAATTTGTGTTATGCAGATGACACAATCCTGCTTGCTGAAACTGAGGAGGACCCTGATGCACTTGCTGCAGAGGGTCAAAGACTGCAGCCTTCAGTATGGATTGAGGGTAAATGTCAAGAAGACAAAGATTCTCACCACTGGATCAATTGGCAGCATCAGGATGGATGGTGAAGAGATTGAGACTGTTCACAGCTTTAGTTTGCTTGGCTCCACAGTCAATCTCTTAGCACCAACAGCCAGGAAATTAAAAGACGTACTGCCATGGGAAAGTCTGCTGTTAGGAACCTCTCCAAAGTACTGAAGAGAAATGGTGTCACTCTGGAGACTAAGGTGTGTCTGTTAAAGGCCATTGTCTTTACAATCACTTGTTATGCGTCAGAGAGTTGGACAGTGACTAAGGAGGATAGAAGGAGAATTGATACCCTTGAGCTGTGGTGCTGGAGAGGAGTATTGAGTATACCATGGACTGCTAAGAAAACAGATTCATTGTGGAGAGGGTTAAACCAGGCTGCTCCTTGGAGGCAAGGATTCTGAGGCTCCGTCTAACATACTTTGGACATGTTGTAAGGAGGGACCGGTCCTTTGGAGAGGGATATCACGCTTTAGAGTGTGGAGGGACAGCGCAAGAGAGGAAAGCCCTCTATGAGGTGGATTGATTCAGCAACTGGGGTAGTCGGGATGAGTATATCAGAGACAGTGCGATTGGCACAGAACAGAGCAGAGTTTAGGGCTGTTGTACATAGAGTTGCTATGAGTCGCAAGCAACTCAATGGCACATAACAACAACATAACAATCATTTTAAAAAATTGAAGATAATTGACATATTCTAAATAGAAATATCTGTTTTCAGTGGTTCAAGATAAATTGATCGATATTAACTTGTCATGTTAATAACAAAGAGCCTATGTAACAGTTAATTGAGTTTCCAAGCACTATTCAAAAGAAAAAGAATCATTTTCATACGGATTTAAAAGAGTACTGTGTAGGACTGCAGCTTTCACGCTGAATAAAGCACTCACAGAGTTAACACCTTAGCTAACACAAACCAGATCATGAGTCCTGAAAACGGCATGTCTAGGATCTGAGGAAGGAGAGAGGAAAAGATTTACATACTTCCAAAAGGTTTTGGTTTCTTCAAAGAAAAGAATGATTTCTTAACTAATAACTGGTCTGTTTCCTAGACTGAAACTTACCTCATCAGTATATTTTGAATTGAAATAGTGACATTTCATTTCTATCAATGTAGGATATGTAGGAAAGCAGAGGGCTCAAGACCAATTCCTCAAGGATCACAGGAAGAAGTTTCCAAACACTTTGTTTTTCCCAAATTCGAAAAGCAGATTTGAATACCTGAAGATAAGTCCCAGAATATTGGAATTGTAGCCAAATCACATAAACATCAATCTTGCCACCTTTATGGGTATATAATAGACCACCCACTGACCATTTTTTTCTAATAAAGAACTCAGACTTGTTGTCATCTAGGCAGAACCAACTTGTAGCTGATCCTCCACTGGATCTTAGAAGCACAGGAGGAGATTGCCTGTCTTTATCTCTCTGAGCTACTGCTGGATTCAAACCTCTAGAGATGCCTGGCCTGTGGGTTAGCAACCACCCCTGTGGACACTCTAAAATCTATGTGCAGACACATTCCCAATTTTTTCATTTTTTTTTGTCATAAAAATGAGCTTTATGTGGTAACAGAATTCTACAACTAACATTAGCCCTCCTAAGAACAGTTTAATGAATTTCTGCACTCAAAATGGTGGCTGACCTTTTGGGGTTTTATTTATCCTTCCTTTGTAGGGAAAGAAAAGTTAAGTGCTAAAAAGGGAACTTGTCCTCTGAAGTACGAGTTAGGTACCCAGAGACAACAAGGAATAGCAGTATTTGCCATGTCAACCCCAGTAAATCTCTGACATTTCCTCCTTTCGAGGCTAGACCAGTATGGATATCTCCCACGAGTGATTTGGGGATACTTTCATTGTATCACCTCTCCAGCCTCTGACTCACCTTTCTTTCCTTTACAGCTGTGTCCTCACCATCATCCTTTACAGTGAAAACAAGTACACTGAGCACATCGGTGCCTGCTTCCTATTACCCAGGTAACGGATTTTTCCACTGTCCTCTCTGTCATCACCCCTTAGCAGTCAGAATCAATCAGTGCGCACTTCGCCATCACTGGTGCTGGAGGAGGTTAATGTGTTTGATATGTGGTAATCCAGTGCTTTCTGTGGCTTTCTGCAGGGGATGGGGGAACTGTTATCAACCATTTACTGTTCTTTCTCTTTTTACTTTCTCTGCATTGACCTGCTTATGATGTATGACAGATCCATTTGTGCCAACTGCAATTTTAGGTGAGAACATTTACCTTTATCACAGTTTATTGCAGGCGTAATTTGGAAAGTCTGGGGTCACTCTGCAGGAAATAAAAGTTTTTATTCTAAGTGATGCAGACCATGGAATGGGGGTGGGGAGACAAATGGCCTGAGGGGAGGGGACGGATAATAAAATTACTTTCTCTAACACAGTCTTCTCTGGTAAGAGGGGTTTGCTGCACGTGTGTTGGGAATGGCACCCAAGGTGCCAGCAGGCAAGCCCAGCTCCAGAAATGTCCCTGTCTCTGCCTGGGATGCTGAGCTGGATCTGTTTACAGCAGGTCCTCACTCAGTTGCCCGTTCTTCCCTCTCAGAACTGCATTCTGCCCACTGTGATTGTGCTGAAAGGTGACAGTAGCTCACTTATTTTGACTTATTGCTAAGCACAAAAATTCTATTTCAAAAATAGCATTTTTCTAATTATGCCAAATATTATGCAGGAAAAATATGGAAACAACATGTTGATGCCTCCCTCTCCATCCCTGGGACCATTCTGAGCAGTGCCTAGAGTTGTGGCATGTCTGTCACACCATGGGATTTCAAAGGAGCTGAGGTCTTTGAGCAGCAAAATGACAAAACGGCACTTTATAATCATATGGTTTATTCTGTGTCAGTTGTCACTAGAAATGAAATAAAATGTTAGCCTAGTGAAGCAGAATGTATTTAAAGTATGAAATGTTCCCAGCAGGGGACTAAAGGGGAAAAATATCCCATTTGTCCAATATTAGAAGGGTGAAGAGAAATGGCGTTACCTGGCTATGATAACAAAATAACCATGAGCTGCTGTTGCATCTGAGACACATAAATAACCATTCAGTGCGGCTTGTGTTCCCTGTCTACCACTAACTTACCGCCAAGGAGCACAACTGAATCTTCAAGGTCTATAATGATTCACTGTGGCAAGAGTTGCATCCTTGGTTGGTCCACTTCCTTTCCTAACCTTTCTTAGCTCGCTGTAAGGGGTCCACATGTTTGCAGTGCCATTTTCCCACCTACGCTTCTGCATTCTCTGAGTTGTTAGGATCTTTGTGTGGAAGGAGATTTGTTCTCCTCGTAGTGGTATCTGGGCCTGAGGAAAAATATGAACTCAGAAATTTAACAATGGTCATCAAACAGAATTCTTAAATTTGCTTCATCTTGAGAACTCACTTGCAAAGCCCACTAACCTCCCCTCTCCCATTACGAAGCTGAACTGCAACCCTGAAGCCACAGGGTTCAAATCTACCAGCTGCTCTCTGGACAGAGGATCGGCAGTCTCCTCCCATGTGATTAACTGCCTCTGAAAACCAGCCGAGAGTCAGCTATGGTTCCTTTCCAGCACTATGGTACACCACAAGAACAACAAAAGAAAGAACAGTACACTTAGCTTTTCTGTAATGAAAGGAATGGGCTAATCTTAGGTACCCAACAATGTAACCCACATGCAAGTGACATTTGACAGGCAGAGATGTACTCTTTCTCTGTGCTCTGAGTATTCTTTCACTAAGTGTTCTTTCATTGCTCCTTAGGTGTTCTGGCGTGGAGGGAAGTTGTGAGGGGGAGGGCTGAGACAGGCATTATCAAAGGGAAGACAATATTCAGATTTCACAGCAGGGTTAACACAAACACCACCCTTTTTGGGGGGGTTGGGGGGGTCCTGTATCACCTGTCTTTTGCCCCAATACTCTGAATTATTTTTCTTTTTTTCCTTGTTGTGTACTGTTGAATAGGATCCGACTGGCACAGAAGGAGATTGCCCCTCTTTCTCCAGCGGAGCATCTGGTGGATTTGAACCGCATGTCTTTGGAATTGAAGCACAGCTTCTTGCCACCAGACCACCAGAGCTCCTCCAAACACCACTCTTTTAAAAAAAAGTCCCTACTTTGTTACTGTGAACACTAATGATGATATTTAAAGTTGGTGGACTGTCTTCATTGTAGGAACCTTGGTAGCAGAGTGCTTTAAGTGTAAAGTTAGTTGCTAACTAAAAGCTTAGTGGTTCACTGGACTGCACTGAGTTTGATTTGAATTAGCCTTCATTATTGAGAGTCTAGCAAAAGTGATGTTCATCGTAAAAAAATAAGTCAGCTGGCTGGAGAAATCATTTTTATCATGTGCAGCCTGGGCAGGTGTGTATCATCTTAGTAAATGGTAGTGCTTGGTAACTGTGCAAATGTCCCTGGTGCAAATGCCATAGAGCCCAGTAAGGATTGGTGACGTTTTCACGTGGAAGGATGGAAGATAAGCTACAAATAAACCAGCATTCTTTGAGGTTAGTAGTCAAAGCACTGTGGATCCTGGATGGACTCATAGATAACCCTCCACTGGGTTATCTGAGGCTGTAAATTGCATGAAAGGAGATTGCTTGTCTTTCTCATTTGAAACCACTGATGGATTCAAACTACCAAAGAGGAACTACCTCTGGATTATCAGCATAACTCCCTATGGATGGACTGCTTGCAGTTTAGAACAGAAAAGGCCCTGTTGTTGTGACCCTAGATTGACATAGTTAGTCCTCTGGGAAGCACTCTTTTGTTCTCCCATGCCCGCCCGTTAGCACTTTGGTGTGCTTTGACATAATTTTCTTGGGGAGATCTGTATCTTCCTTTACTTCCAAGATGTAGCATTCTTTTAAGTGCAAAACTTTTTTTATCAGCCAATCTACTTAAATTTTCCTTTGTTTCATTGAAGAATACTTCTTAGAAAACCATCATACCTTTAGTTCTGATTTTCTCTTAAAAGCTACAGTTGTTGTTGTTGTTGTTGTTTAATGCCTTCGAGTCGTAGACGACTCATAGCGACCCTACAGTACATTTTTAAAATATTTGTGGATAATGTTGGATTTTTTTCTTAAAAAAATTATGTATTTTGGGTAAAAAATTACCAACTCGCTTTGTTTTCCATCCCACACATCATACACATTTTGTTTTGCCATTGATTGCAGTCCTTACAATAAAACAGCCCTTTCCCCACTCCATGCCTATATTTGCTGTTTCTTCCTGTCCTTCCTCCCTGACTCCTCCGGTCTTCTCAGCTGTATCCCTGAGCAAACACTGCCTTTCTGGCCTCCTGTTATTAGTTGCTCTAAGAAGTAGATACTTCCCTGGAGTCATTGTTCACTGTTTAGGTCTGTTGTTAAGCTGAAAATTGACTCATAAGGGTGATTTTCATTTTAGTCTTGAAGCATAGTCTTGGGGGTCCAACAGTCACACACAGGCCAGTAAGCCTGATCCTTTCCATGACACTGAGTTTTGTTCCACATCGTCGCTTCTCTACAGGACCAGTTTTGGAAGTCCCTTTCCAAACAGTCAGCAGCGACAGGCACCAACTTCTGGCTTCAGTATCTTGACAGCTGAGGTGTCTGTCTCCTTGTGTTTTATTTCATTATTCTTTGTCTTTTACCAATAGTTGCATCTTAAATAACTGTTCAGCTTTTAAGAACACAGTCACTAATCACTAAAGTAGAAGTCAGAATTTTGGTTTTTTGTGGACATTGTGCCAATTGATCTGGATGTCCCTCCAGATGATGGTTCTGAGTCCACAGGCCCATTCCTTTCAGCTTTTTGGTTATGCCTATAAAGTTTTTATAACCTTCGTGTCTAAATGCTCAGCTATATGAGTGGATATATTTATAACATATCGGTAACGTATCAGGCTGCTTAGCTACAAGGTTAGCAGTTCAAATCCATTAGCCAGCCTGTGGAAGAGAGAAGTGCATTTGCTTCTGATAAAGACTTAAAGCCTAACGAACTTGACTAAGGGTTGCTACAAGTAGGCATCTGTCAGTGGGGTTCTTTGATTTGGTATACACATGGAGAAATATCTTCTGTCAAACGTGTATTTGTTTTAGGTGTGGTCTTGTTTGGTTCCCATCCATGTCAGCTTAAGTACCCACTCATAGATCATTGTTATTACTGTTGTCTCAGGATTTTACATTTAATAGTATTTGCCTATGTTGCTTGTACTTCTTTCACTCTCCCCAGGATCTGTTTTCCACTGTCATTGATCGCTTCATGCTGGACCTCCCTTATTGAATACTGACATTTTCTTTCCCTAGCATACATTAGTACATGTTTACTCTTATAGTTTATGATTTACGTTCCTTCCTTTCCCTTCTCTGACAACTTTCAAAGAATGTTTCTTTCTATATGTATATTTTCTTAAATTTTGCAGTATTGATCTCATACAATGCCCATTTGTGATTCATTGAAATTGGTGATTGGGATGCAAAAGTTGGAAACACAGGAGGACGGGTAGTCAGAAAATACTTAAGAAAGGTGATCCAACAGAATGAGGAAATTCTTGAACAATATCATTAATATCATGCAAGCAAGATATTGCTGATGATCATTAAAAAAGGACTACAACATTACATGGACAGGGAACTGCCAGTAGTTCAAACTGGATTTAGAAGAGGCTGTAGCACAAGTGGACATCATTGCTGATATCAGATGCATCCTGACTGAAAACAGAGAATAACAGAAGAATGTCTATTTGTGCTTTGTTAACTATGCAAAGGCATTTGATATTGTGAATCACATCAAATGGCTAACATTAAGAAGAATAGGAATATCGGAACACTTCATTTTGCCCATGTGAAACCTGTACCTAGACCAAGCTATTGCAGGAAGAGAGCAAGGGAACACTGCATGTTTTAAGATTAGAAAAATTGTGTATTAATGTTTTTATCCTTTCTCCATACTCATTTAATCTCTATGCTGAAAAGCTTATTAAAAAAGCTGGACTCTGTGAAGAAGAATGCGGCATCAGGATTGGAGGAGGACACATAAATAACCTTTGTTAGGAGAATGATACAACCTTCCTTGTGGAAAGGGAAGAAGACTTGAAGCACTTGCTGCAGATCAAATACTACAACCCTCAATATGTATTTCATTTCAACATCAAGAAAACAAAAATCCTTGCCATGGAGAAAGGATTGAAACTGTCAGTAACTTCATCTTACTTGGATCCACAATCAGTACACTTAGTACTAGCAGTCA